GGAGAATTTCTTGTATCAGCGTCCCCGTGCTGAAAAATAGCTACAGGGGCGCTTTAACTAAAGCTTATTCGACAAGCTTTAATTAAAGTGCCCCGCCACTATTTTTTCAGCATGAGGATGCTGATACATGAGATGAGTCAGCTGGAGTGCGGTAATTAATTACCATGCTCCAGCAGACTTGATTAATCAAGCTTGCTCTGATGTGCTGTAATTACAGAGAGTCAGAGCAGCCTCACTGCTCGTGTATAGGCACTCTGTGTTAAGAAGTACTATAATCAATAGGAGTACTTATAGGATTGGGATTTTAAATTGTCAACCAATGCAAATCTATAGATTTAGGACAATATTTTCAAAAAACAAAGGTCAAAGTTATGTTTCTCAGTTCAAATCCTGGAAACTGCCTGATTTTTGATGAGTGCTAAGCACTGAATAACTCCAGTTTACATCAGTAGTTGTTGGCTGCCTAGAAATTTTGCAAATCACAGAAGCATCTAAATATTAAACCAGGGACCAGGAACCTACAGCCCATAGGCTGGATCCAGACCACAAAGAGGTTTTATCCAGCCTAGCAAGCATGCCAAAATGGAAATTTAATACATCCCTTTGTAAGTTTTATGTGAGAATGCACTGTCCACTGGCAGACTATCTAATATCTGCTGCCTCTGCCCTTAGGACCAGACTGTTACTTCAGTCCACTGTTAGTGTAAGTTTTGAAAATTTAAGTCAGACTATTATTTAATGCTATTGTTTTAATCAGAGTGGAACTATTTGCAGAATAGTGCTGCAAATATTTCTATCTAAGGTTGACTGTTTTTGTATATAAATGTTTTATGGCTGCATATATCATATCTTGTTTCTTGGTATTTGTAGTGCAACTCAGTTCAGGTGGATTCAAAAAGGAGAAGAAACAGAGAAACAAAGCTGGGCCATAGATCATGTGTATATTGGAGAAGCCTGCCCAAAACTCTGTAGTGGTCATGGATATTGCACTACTGGAGCCATTTGCATTTGTGATGAAGGATACCAAGGTTTTTTTCTCTTGAATTCCTTTTGTTTATATCTCTCTGACATGCAGATATAGCTCAAAACAAAGAAAATAAACACTTATTCAAATATACTGACTGACTCAGGAAAGGATTGCTTGAGTAACTCATAACAAGATAGTGTTGGAGTGATGTTATAGCCATGCGGGCCCAGTGAGGATTTTTGAGAGTGAAATACAGTTGATCCAATAAAAGATAGCAGGCACAAAAATCCTTATCAAATTATACATTCATAAGTAGAATTGTTACAAGTATCAGGTAGCCCCACCTTCTATTATCTCCATATTGAATTACTGTACTATGCTTTATTAGATTACTGTGCTGTGCATTAGAGGCTATCAGACCTCACCTAATGCAGAATGTGGATGCCTTATTACTCAGGGATAGATATTTCTCACACAGACCATGCAATACCTATATTCATTCCACAGAGCACATTGGCTTTCAGTTTGTTCCCTGGTGGAGTCCAGGTTGTGGATTATGACCGATAAGAGCTGAGTCCTGCAAGGTATAAAACTCTGGCTCTGCTCCAAAAGTCAGTCAAGCATGTGCTTATACATACATGAGTAGTCCAATTAAGCCATTTAAGTGCTTAGTTGGAATGGGGCCAGAGTGCTCAACATCTTGAAGGACTGAGGCTTGTAGCTTTAAATAATTGTGATCCTGGCTATCCTAGAGACGTCTCTTCAAGTAGTTATTTCAGACTGCTCTCACCAGTCTGGTGTAAAACAAGAGAAATTCTCTAAAAGCCAATGGAGCTACACTATGTAAATGAGTAAAGACACACACCCTTCATTTTTTAAACGGAAAAGCTTAGCTTCTTGTGCAGTCATGCAGAAATTGAAATATCATCTGCAGTTCTGGAGCAGTGTATTCTGCCCCACAGTTCCATTTTACATTGGGTCCTGCCTCTGGCAGTAATTACAATGAATTGAATATGAAACTGAAAACAGTAAATTTTTTTGTCACTTATCTGTATTATAATGTCACCCTGTCATTTTCAGGTGACGACTGCTCTGTTTTTAGCCATGATCTTCCCAGTTACATTAAAGATAACTTTGAATCTGAAAGAGTCACTGAAATAAACTGGGAAACCATTCAGGGTGGAGTCATAGGGAATGGGTGCGGACAGCTGGCACCATATGCCCATGGAGATTCACTGTATTTTAACGGATGTCAAATAAGGCAAGCTATAACTAAACCTTTGGATCTCACACGAGCAAGGTAATAACACTTTCCTATGAATACAAGATACTATCTTAACAGCTTGTGAGAAGACTAACCTTTTATAAAAATGAAATGGCATGTGTGTGAAATGAATGGTTAGAATAAACAGGGATGGCTCAGCCTTACAGACAGGCATGTCTGGCTGGCTAGAAGAATTTTTAAGATTGGCAAAATATTTTAACAACTTGCAGCTTGGAGTTTATGAACAAGTAGGAGTTGGCTGTTGGCGGGAAAGGTCTGATCTTTTTAGTACACCTACCCTAGCATGGTATGTGCAGGTATCTTAAGGCAGGGCCATCACCAGAGGCCAGATACCAGACTGATCAGACCAGTGGTCTGAACTGGTAAGGCAGATCCTAAGCTACCACGTCACATTCAAAGTGAGAGGCAGTGAGGATGTTAATATAAAATACAGACCCACTTCCAATATTAGTTGTCAGCTAAAGTTACAGTCACCTGCCAAGAAACAAGCACAACTTTATCTGTGAAGTTTTTCAGGCTATGTAGTACCACATGGAATCTGTGGTTCTTAAAAAAAAAAAGTTTCCAGAATTCTGCATTTGTCATTTAAGCCAGTTGGCAAGACAAAATAAGAATTAGGATCAGACAGCAAGTATACCAAGTATTTATGCCTAGAGTTATACTCTTAATGTCTTATGACACACCTAAATAAAGATTTTGGAGTCTAACTTCAGGTATGCTTTTGGTAAATTTTAGCCTTTATATTTTCTTTTAAAAAAATTTTTTCTATACGTGTTACCATTTGACTTTTCAGCATTGATACATAGCTTGGCTTTCAGCAAGTGCATTGTAATCATGGATTGGTTGCCACCAATAACACTGAGATGTACACAGATGTTGCATTTGAGTAGTGTTAACAAAGGGTATTATTATGGAGAAAGTGTTATGTTTTAGCGACATCAAAGTGGCTTATTTTGTTTACTACTAGTAATGTTACTTAAAGTCATTCTGTACTTCTGAAAAAATAACTACAGCAAAGTTGGAAATATAATCACATTGGCTTGAACATTTTTCATAAATTAAAAACGATATATGTTCTTCTGTGTTTTACAGCAAAATAATGTTTGTTTTACAAATTGGGAGCATTTCGCAAACAGATAGTTGCAATACCAACCTGAGTGATCCTAATACTGTAGACAAGGCAGTGCTACTGCAGTACAGTGTAAATAACGGAATAACATGGCAAGTAATTGCACAGCATCAGCCAAAGGACTTTATACAAGCCCAAAGAGTGTCTTATAATGTTCCACTGTAAGTACCCAATCATATTCATTACTGCTGAAAAAGTACTATAAATCCTCTGGAGAAAGGACTCTATTGATTTCTACACGGGAAAAGAAAGGAAACATGGGCATAGACAGGGCAAGAGAGTGTATGAGAAGTATGACATTTATAACAGTGATCAAAAACAGAGTGAACAGACCTTCAGGATTATTTAGAGAAGTGTAAAATCTTTCATTTAAAAATATTTTCCAAGAAGCATAAAAATCTTTTTCCTAAATCAATCTAAGTTCTTATTTGTCATTAAATCATTTATTGCTACTCCATGTTGATATTTCAGAGCACATCTTGGTTTTACATCTAGTTCTTATTTTGAGAATAGGTAGATAGCCAAGAAAGGTTCTTTCTTAGCACAGAACTCTTAGTGGTTTTTGTGTTTTGTAATGATAGGGAGGCACGAATGAAAGGAGTCTTATTGCGCTGGTGGCAGCCCCGTCACAATGGAACAGGTCATGATCAGTGGGCTTTGGACCACGTAGAAGTCGTCCTGTGAGTATCAGATTCACCTCATACCATCTCCATCTCAGAAAGCGTTGCAATTCCTTCAGCATGGCAAAATGTTAAACTCAGTAAGAACAGTTCTGATGTAGAGAAACTTCTGAAAAATCATTATTTTGCATATGTTCTTCACTGAATGCAAAGGTCAGCGTTTAAGACAACCATGATATAACTCAACACAACAGGGATGCATGTTGTGCATCATGGAGAAATGCAGGAGAGAAAGTGTGGGCTTTAATATCTTTAAATATTTGTGTGCTTGAATAAAGCAGCAGGGTCTTGAAAATATTTCATGCTGTGACATGGAAGGATGTGCATTCAACAGCTATGCTGCCATATAAAGTTGATTTACATCTGTTCAAAGATATAGAATAGCTTGCTCTATTGTTCATCATACAGAATAATGTTGTTGAATTGGGCTCTGAAAAATTGCATTAGAAACTAATGCCTTATTCGTTTCCTTTTTTAGTAAGAAGGATACTGTTCATAAACACGGTTCTCTATCTCAGGTTCCTATGGTCTGAGCTCTAGACTTATTCCCCTTGTCAAGAGTTTACCAAGAAAAGTGTCTCCACCCTATTGATTCCCCCATTGATGAAATGGGTTTCACTCTCAGTTAACCCTTTTTTTTTTTACTGTATTACATGACACACAGATGACCTGCTTCTTCTCTAACAGTTTAGTTCCAGTAGAACTGAAATGCTAGTGCCTTGACGGGCTGGAACTCTTCGCTGACAGTGGGTGGCAGAGAGAGGCGTATCTTCTCAATAGATAGGTTCAAACATTCATTATATCAAAAATCTAGAAAAACAGCAGCACAGACATTAAGTTTGGATAACCTCCTGATTGAATAATTATAATAATGAGGTTTCTATTTTTAAATCTGAACTAGAAGAGGTGCTGAAAGTATTGTTTTTAACAATAGAAAATTGGATTATTTGATCTCTACTTAGCCTGTTCTCCTTTCCACTGAGAAGCACCAGCTTGCATGGCATTCATATCAACCCCAAACCAAAATTGATCCCAACACAAAGTAACTGTACACGCTCTGCTGCTTTTACACTCCTTGCTGGGCTCTGCTTCCATAACATCAAGCTTAAGTTTGAAGGAACAGAGGGTTGGACATGATTCCTGACTCAGTTAATTGATGGTTATGTGTTATAGATCACACAACAATTGAACAATTAAAACATCCAAGAGAAAAGCTAAATTTTTTCGGCCATGTTTCAGCTCAGGTGGGAAATGGTACACATGGTTCTGCAATATTCCAGCATCTTTCCACTTTAAGTTGTTTTAAAAAAATGTAACAAAAAGAGAGTTTTCAAAAAGTAAGAGCATAATGTATAGGACACCAATTTGACCATTGGTTTTTGAGAGCATTACTAAGGATAATGGGATAGATTTAGGAAAGGAAAGTGTCAGCTGAATACCAGGAAAACCTTTGTGGCAATAAGATCTCTCAGGCTGTAGGTCACCTATCCAAGCCTAGTATTGGAAACAGTCATTTGAAATATTTTAAAAGCAAACTGAAGAAAGCACTAGAAGTAGGAAACAGCTTTGCTCAGAAGAGAAACTAAGTTTGCAGATTATGCTCCCACACTGTTACTCCTGTCGAGAAACCTTGAGGACTTTTCCTGAATTCTGAGCAGAGCCAGGGTACAGCAGGATAATTCAGCACTTCCCCTGTTTTGGAAATGAGTTTTCAAGTGAACACTGCGTCATGCCTGGCAGAAAATAGCTCATGTGATAGACAGGCATTTACAAACTGCTTGCTTCCTTAGTGGACCCTGTTCATGAAGAGCTACAGCAGAATGTTAGTAAAAGGCTAGATTTGAAACATAAAACCTGCTAAACATGACAGGACACATTCCTGTTAGGAATTTAAAAATTGTACATAATGGCACATATGGCATGTGCTAATTAGTAATTAATTCATTCTGACCTCCTCTAGCTGCACTAGTTGAAACTTGTTAATCAAAATAGTTTCTATGTTGCACAGAGATTCCTTTCAAATTACATTCATTGTTTTTTCAAATTCTGAGAGTTCAAAGCTAACTCATGCTGAAGCACTGTCAAATTGTCTTGCCCACTGGGTGTCGGTTACAGGCATAGGTATGGCCAAGAGACCTGAGTTCTCTTCCTGCCTCTGCTGATGCCTCAACTGTGTCATCTTGGGCTAGTCACTTTACTTCTCTGATTTTTCCCTGGTAAAGTTTTATCTAAGCCTTAAATCACCAGATACCTAATGAGTCACATTCAGGATGCCCCTGTATCCTAGACAGCCAGGAATACCTCTGGTTTCAGGGCCTGGCTGAAATCCTTGTCTATCTGATAACATTCATGTGTTGTCCTGTTTTGTAACCCTTCTACATGGACCACCTGAATGAGACACCAGCTAATTGAGTAGGTCAAGAAGGAGGGAAAGGAAAATTGCATTTCTGAGGACGGTAGGAGTGGACACACTGTGACAGGAGGCCATCCCCGGGTCCAGTCACAGTGTCAGCCCACCCACCTGTCTAGGGCAGTCTGCCTCAATTCTTCTGTCATGCCTTAATGTATCCAAATCAGATGGAAAAATGAGGGAGGCTGCCCATTTAATGCCCTGATGCCAAGGGCATAATACACAGCTCCGACCTTCTCTTTTCTGTGTCCCATGCCTCACAGATGGGACCCACAGTGACTTCCAACTCCCCCAGCCCCATTGCTGAGCCATACTCAGCCTCTGGCCTAAACTTGGCCTCAGGTGTCCTTGGACATATCTTGGCCCGGCCTCTGGCCCAACTTGGCCTCAGGTGTCCTTAGATGTACCTGGGCCACATACCCTCTCTCTGGGGCCTCTACGTCCCACACATATTCTGGGCTCCTTGCCCCTCATTAGGCTCCTAGCCCCTCACACTCTGCCCCTGCACTGAGGTAACTACCCCATCCCCTCACTGGGGCTTCTGGGCTTTATGGCCCTTAGGCTTCAGGCATCTGTCGACATGCCTGGACCCCACATTCCTTCAGGCCTCCCACTAGGCCTCGGGCCCTCCTGGCCCCTGTGCTGTCACCCAAGCCTGGTGCTTTTCTGTCAGGGTGTGCTCCTTTAAACTTTCCCCTCCACCGGGTCACCCAAAAGGTAGTGGGGGCTGAGGCTTTCCAGCACCCCATATTCACCTTTCACTAGGGAGGCACTGGTGTGCCATTTCCTGGAGACTACCCTGCCACAGAAAGCCCCACCACACCATCCAACCCCAGCAGGGTTTAGTTTTAGGTCATGCCCCAGGACCAACTGCAAGCCTACCTGCCCTGGTTTTATTCCTCTTACTGGGCTCCTGGATGTTCTCCCTGGGCCGCTCTCTCCTGGGCACTCTTGCAGCCTCCATCTCATAGTCTGCTCTTAGTCACTGGCCCATCTCTCTCAGACCCCCTCATTGGATGCCTCCCATCCGGAGGCTGAGCTTCAGCCTCCTTCATACCAGCCTGCTTGCTGGCTGACCACCTATCCTCTCTTGGAAGTGATGCCCCCCCCCATCAAGAGGACCTTCAGCCTCGTTTAGACTCTGCCCCCACCTGTAAGTTACTTGGGGTACCAGCAGCTCTCCGCAGCCCTGGCCTGCCCCTCACAGTGGGCTTACTTGCACTTCAGCCTGTTGGCCCTGCCCCCCTTGCATTGACCAGTTAAGAGTCTGAGGATCAGTCTGACAGCAGCTGACCTTCACCCTCCACAAGGGTCCCTTGGGCCCCTCCATACACCAGTCCTCTCTTCCACTGGGCTTGCCTGGTGCCCCACCAAATTTATGTCAAGCAGCCATTCACTTCACTGGGCTCATCTAAGCCCCTGCCCTCAGCCACCCCCAGTTCTAATCAGGGACTTACCCAGCCCCTCCATAGGCCCACAAACTGTAAGCCCCTTTCTAGGCTGGCCTGGTGTTTCCCTAGGCCCTTGTGTGCACAGCCACTCTTATTTCACTTTCCTGGCCCCTTGCTCAGGTCCCTGTGCACACTGCCTCTCTCTAGGCTGGCCTCTCCACAGCTCCAGGTCCACAGCCACTTCCCCAGGGCTTGGGACCTCCACTGGATCCCTAGGAACCTCCTCCTTTCCCACAGTTCCTATCCTTAACCTCCAGGATGTTCCTGGGAGCAGCAGATCTCATGCTGGGCAATGTTACCTCAGCAGCATCCCTGTAGTAACTGCCAGCTCTGCTCCTTGGGGCCTGCTCTTATATTGAGGCTGCTCAGCCCTGCTCCAATCAGGCAGCCTCCTGGCTGTTATGTGACCACCTGATTGGCTCTGCTGTCCTCTGCAGGCTGCCTCACAGTCTGCTTATGCCCTTAAGGTGGCAAGCACCCAAAGGTGCTCCACCGCACACACCTTTTTCTCATGCTCTATAAGTTTCATCTCTCTGACCCCACTAAAATCATCCTCACCTGCCCTCTTCCAGGCCCCTAGTCAGAATGTCCTGAATTTTCATTCTTTAACCTGGACAGCCTATCCACATTGTAAATGCATCCTTTAGGGGCTCTTGCATACAACCCCCACATATGAAAGAAGGTGGTACATCCACACCATCTCGTTTTAGACCTCAGTATTCTAACCATATTCTCTGTAAGTATCACTTTTTAGAAATATTTTTTGTAAATACCATAGATGTGTATGATAAAGTCAAGATTCATACTCATTTTATTCTGACAGGGGATTAAGCATGCAAAACTCCTCACCTCCCAGTCCCACCCCTTTGTGCTACCATGGTATCAACTGGCCAGAAATTTGACCTAAGTTGTCAAGTGAGGACAGAGGCACAACAGGGCAGTGGCAGGTCCTAGCTGCCAGCAGCACAACCAGCAGTGGCAGCTGTTACTTTTGGCTTTCCTCCCCGCAAATCTGTGCCCAGGACTGCTGCTCCAGTTAACTCCACCCCCTTAGTTATGGGACTGGGTGAGGATTCCCCAGACATAGTGAACTCCCTGGTTGGGGAGGAGCAGCTGTTCTGGTTACATGCACCATAATG